AGAGCACGAAAGCTTGGGATCTGCCTCAGAGCTGACCAGGATCTGGTTTGCCTCTCACTTCTTGGTCTTTCTCTCTAGTTCAAGAACTACCTGGGAGAGAGGCTAGTTTTACTTATCCTTTGTCTGAGACTGTGGCATCTCATCTGGCTGATGGCAGTTTTTGCTTGGTAGGTATGCTAAGGCAGTTTCAGGGCCCCCAGGCTTATTCTCTCAGCCCTAGGTACAACTATTAGGATACCTGACCATGAAGACACATACAGTTGAGTTAAACTTTGTTCATGAATATTGGAGCCAGGCAGGGCTGGATTCAAATCTGCTTTGCTTTTGTGAGCAGTGTGATTTTGAGCAGACCATGCATGAAAATGGGAATAATAGGATCTGCTTCACAGGTGAGACTCAGTGGATTGAGGCATGTAAGCCACCTAGTGCCTAATGAGGGCTTAATAAATTATAGCTGCTGTGATCATTGTAGCCATGTCCTTATAGTGTCATTTTTCTTCAAAGTCTTTTCTGGAATCTTCCTCATCTTTTGAGTGCATTGTCCATCTTGGGGAATGTTCCTATCATTGAGTCTGAATCAGTGCATCTGAGTCATTAGCCTTTGAGGATAGGCAGATGTTATCTGGGCAAAGCATCTGAAGTCACCTAGAACTAGTGGAGAAGGGGAGCTTTTCAAACAGGGGAGCACCAGCTTTATATGCCCTATAACTCAAAACTGAGTTGTAATAACAGCTTGATTTGTATACTAAAATTGGATTCAATAATGATATCAAGAGAAGACATGACAAGCATGGGATTGTTATTCAAGCGTTTGGCCACCCTGCAGCTTGAAGCTTGAAACTTGTGGCTGAGTGGTCTTACTCTAGTCTTTCTTAAACCTGCTCTGTAAATTTTGGTAGTAAAATCTTAAAAAAAAAAAAAAAGAGGCGCTGCTAGCCCCTGCCTGAAGGATGAACAGTAGGCCTGCCTCCAATCTTCCCATCATCACTGTACACTCTTTCTGCTTCTCATATAATGAAATGTCATTGTTTGCTTATAGCCACACCTGTGTGGCTAATATATCCATTAAAACATGAGTTGCAGTTTGAAGCTTAGATGTGTTTGGTTTGACCCACTTACTGTTTTAAAAAAGAGCATTTTATGTAAAAAAGGAAATGCATTTTCTTTTCTCTTGAAGTTGAATGACTGTGTGTGTGACAGCAGAGGATCTGCTGAGTAGCAGCTGTTTTCCTTTGTGCTGGCAGGAGGGCTCCAGTCCCCACAGTTCTACCACCCCCTGTGTTTATCTAGCTCACCTTACTTCTTACATCCATTTCACATCTTCACTCCTACCCTGCCCCTGAGGTCTTTGCACAACACATTTTAGGTTAATTTGATCACAGCTCTCCTAATCCTACAAGTCAGTGCTTCTACCAGGGGTTGGCCAACAAGGCTAAACTATAGGTACTTATTAGGCATGGTGATCTATATTCTTGGATATGGGTCTCATGCCTGGCCTTAGCAGACTCCCCAAAGGCAGTACTTTAGGTTTCTCCAGCCTTACGGCCTCCAAAAAATACCCAGCCTTGAGAAGGGTTGTTCAGTCACTTATTCAGCCCTGAGCTGAGTGTGGGGATACAATGATGAAAGGGATTGACATGATGCCTGGCCCCAGAAAGCAGAGCTTTTGGGAGTCCTTGATGTCCATATCTTCAGAGTAAGGGGTGATTCTTGCCCGTCTTTTTTCTGTAGCCTCCCAAGCATGCCTTCTTCTCTGCTCCAATTCTTTGAGCTCAAGTCTGCGCAGGCTAGAAGTTGAAGCGATAGGAGGAGTTTGTTTTGTTTGTTTGTTTTTCAATTCAGCGGTTTCTTGGGGAGACCATCTCTGGTCTGAAGGTAGAGCTGCTAGAATATCATTCCGATCAATTAAAAGCCCCAACATAACATCAACAACAATTTAAAACATGATGTGGTTTTGAGTAAGCAATATGTTAAAAAATGCAAGTTCTCAACCACATCCTGTGACTACTTCATTGACATTTCGATTTTAGTTTATATACAACCAGCTTCTATACATCTTAAAATGGCTAGAGGGTATTATTCAGCTGTCTCGTGTCTATCCTCATTTTAGTATTTAGCAGTCTATAGCGTTGAAGCATAATTCTACTGAACTTGGCAGATTTTAGGATAGCCTAAACTGGCTTATAACTCTAGCAAGGCGTATGTTAACAGCTGAGGTGTAGAACTGTTTTAGGAAGGGTGTGCAGAGAAATCTTCCATATCCTAGTGAGGAGTAACTAATCTCTGTCCTACCTGGTAAAGTATATGTGAATTTCTCACTGACCGACCGTTTCCTGTCTGGTTCTAAGATTTCCTTGTTGATCTGTGTCTATTCTGATTTTGTTTGTTTGTTTGTTTTTTTGGGAAGGATCTGGAGCGACCCTAATGGTCATTGCCAGAGAGGATGGGTATCCAAAGTTGGAACTAAGTAAGGACCAGAGAAAGCTCCTCTCCCTAGTCCTGAAGGGAGTTTACTGTTCTTCTGTTTCTGCGGACCGCTCAGGGATCCTGGCTGTTGTACCAACGGCCTTGGATCCTGCAAGGAAGGATTTGGGGTTCTTCCATCCCATGTGGTAGATCCAAACTGGGGTGGATGCCCTCAGAGTTCTCGGCCTCCGAAGGCACTGATAGGAGGAGTTTGAGGGTCCAGGTTGCACCCCTGTCTGACCTGCCTGAATGATGCTGTATTGTATGGGCACTGTTGGATGACAGCACAGATTCATCTGACTTGGAATCTGTGACTGTCTTTGTCAGTAATAATCATGACATCTACCAGGCTAGTAGTTTATAAAATAGTCCTTCATATAGTATATGAGTTGAATATTGTTTTTATCACTACTTTACATATGTGGAAACTAAGGCTTCAAATATAGAGCAATTTTGTCAGAGTCAGAAGAAATTGGGATTCAAATATTTTGTCTCCTGACATAGAGCCCGAGTTTTTAACTCCTGTACAGAAATGAATGCTTTTTATAGCTCCTTAACCTGGAACATGCTTTGTAGGCCTCTTTTTGACAAAGATATTTTTCTTGCTGATCTTTAACAAGGTCTATAATTCTTTCATCTGCATTTATTATTTTCTTTAAGATTTATTTATTTGAACAGCAAAGTTAGAGAGATGTTCTGCTGGTTCACTTCCAAAATGGCTACAATGTTCAGGGCTGGGCCAAGCCAAGAGCCAGAAATTGCATCTGGATCTCCCATGGGGGTCAGGGGCCCAAGGCACTTAGGACATCTCCCACTGCTTTTCCAGGCGTGTTATCAGGGAACTGGATCAAAATTGTAGCAGCAAGGATCCAAGTCAGTGCTCATATAAGGTTCTGCTATCATAGATAGCAGCTTAACCCACTGCCCCATGATGCTGATTCCTATTTCATGCTTTTATCTCTTGTTAGTGAAAATTCTTGGAAGAGCTTGACATTGTCATTACCAGCACCATTGCACCTTAGTCATTTCTCTGATAACAGGAAAGATCAGACCTCAGGGTACCCCAGCAGGTGGGTACCTGTATCTGGAGCTGGGACACTACTTGAAAACAAGCGTGCATTTATAATGGCTCCCAGGTAGGATTAGAATTGGTAAGACCAAAAAGATCTTTGTAAAATAGTAGGGACATATTTGGGCCCATAGGAGGAATCATAGAATAGTTCTTCCTGTGATGGTAGACACTGGGAGGGGGAGAAGGGTGGTGACTGGGAGGAGGGAGGACTGGAAATAACTTCTCCATGTGCTAGCATGTGTTGTCCTTGTTCCCCCAAGTATGGTTTCCAGAGTTCCCGAATCCTTCCTAAAAGCAAGGCCCTATTGTTTTTAGATGAAAAGAGGTTTTGGCGTGGGATTGGGAGATTGGGAGGAGGGAATGAATGAAACTTTGTGCCATTTCATTTCATCCTGTGTGTCTGTCTCATGAGCTCATGTACTACACAGCCACCATCACATCTGTCCTGTACTCTCTCTTTGGATTAGGGGAGAACAGGTTGAAGGAACTGGCTTCTAATCTGGGCACCTTCTCCCCTCAGTCTCACCAGACCTCTGCCTTCTCACTTGCACCCTTTCCTGCCTGGTGTGAAATGTACCAGGAAGCATTTGTGCCCTACAAGCTCCCCCCACCCCCACTAGAGAGTTACCAGAATTGTGCTTGCCCTAGTGGACTGCTTGGGAAACACTGTGGCTTCAGCTGCTGGCCTGTGTACATCTGTGGTAATTATTTGCATGTGTGCTGCTTTTGTATACTGTCTATTTTTTTATTGTGAAAGTAATGTGAATGTTAAATATCTAATAGTATATATAAATATGGCATATATATATATTCTCTCTCTCTTTCTCTCTCTCTCTCTCTCTCTCTCTCTCTCTCTCTATATATATATATATATAAGCATTCCAAGTGAAAAAGTGGCTTGAGACAGCCATTGTGGTGCTGCAGGTTAAATCTCTGCCTGTTCCACTTATGATCCAGCTCCCTTCTAAAGCACCTAAGAAAGCAATGGAAGAGATCCCAAGTACTTGGGTTCCTGCCTTTCATGTAGGAGATCAGGATGGAGTTCCAGATTCCTGGCTTCAGCCTTGGCCTAGCTGCAGTTGTTGTGGCCATTTACTGAGTGAATAGTGGATTGAAGGTTAATCTCTGTCTTTTCCTCTATCACTCTCTTTCAAATACATTTTTTTTTTAAGTATAGAGATCTTACTGTACCCTTTTGCCAACCCTCTCCCAAGTCAGTTTGCTTAACTCCCTCAAGTTAGTATGAAATCCTTAGGCTTCTATAGAAGTGCCCCATGCACGTGTCAACAGGCTATGTTCACTTGTTTCTGTGGTTGTGAGGCTGACTTTGTGAAAAGAATTGCAGGGATCCAAATGTGCCTGGAGAGAGGCAAGGAGGCAAAGAAAGTGCCCATCTTACCATTTTTCTTTTGCTTCCTAGAACTCATTGTGGCAGTTCATACTCTGTGTTTTGTTTTCCCAGAAGTCATTTGCACTGACCAACCCAGAGAAGAGTAGTACCCAAGATACGGAAAGAAAAGAAACCAAGATAGAAGAAGAGCTGGACACTGAGGTCTTGGAGGTGTTTCACCCAACCAACGAATGGCAGGCCCTTCGACCAGGTACCTGGCTCTGCCCTGTCCCCATGCGATGCCCTTGAATTGAGGCTGTATATGTCATTTGTCTCCATAGAGCTGCTTGGCAGGGGCAGTCTCCCTCTGGCCTGCAGGAGAGAAGTGGTGTGGCAGGTTGGTAGCTGCTGCAGCAGGGCTCAGAGGCCTTCATTTTTTCTGCAGAGTGAGATTGGAGCATCTTAGTGCCCTGGAAGGGAAGGCAGGTGGTGGGTGGCCATGCTTTCTGAACAAGTGATTGAAAACTGTCTCTCCTTGCACTTCTGAAGCACAGGAGAGGCAGTGACATGTGCCTTGCTCTGCAGATGCTATTTTTGGCTCTGCTACTAGACTCAGTGCTGCTGAAAGATTGTTCATGGGAGAGTCCTGAGTGTTGGCGCAGGGCAGGAGTGTTCTCTTGTTTAAGGAACCTGGGGCAGGAATTGGGCTGGTCCTGGCCTGGTTTTTAAGTGGGGCATTCTCAGAAGGAGTAGCTTTCTAACCCTTCTGTGAACCTTAAAATAATAATGCAAGTGGTCTACAATAGCAGAGGGTTTGCAATATTCTAGTACCATGTGGGGTGCCTCACATATGTAATCTTGTTCAGTCTTCACAACAATAGATTGTTGTTATCTTTATTTTCAGATGAACATATTGAAGCTTAGAGAGGTTAAGTAATTTTGTTCAGTGTCATCCAACTGACTTATCCTCTGTCACTGACCCTAGAGCATGAACACACTCACCTCCCACTTGTCCTTCCTAGTCCCAGCTGTACTTGGCTGGAGCCCACTGTGCTGATGCTTGGGACTGTTCTCAGGAGGAAGCTGTTTGCATTCTACACTGCGTCAAGGTGGATGGCAAACGCTGGCAGCTGCCAAGGCTGGTTTCATCAGCTCCTTGCCGGCATTCATCACCATGTCCTCACTGCCCCCATTGCTGCTGTGCTGGCAGGGACAGCATTTGCTGTGCCAGCCAGCTCTCTGGTAGCAATATCACTCCTGCTGGGCTTGCATACGGGTGGTTGCTGCCATGGAAGAGTGATGAAGCACCGAGGCAGCCAAGTGGGAGCTAGTCGTGTGGGAGCAGAGGAAGATTTTAGGAATAAAGGCTCTGGGTTTAGCAGATCCAACCTCTGGCTGTCTTCACCCTGCTTCCCTGGAGGCTGAGCCTCCCTGGCCCCTGGAGACTGAAACTACAGGGACTCTTGGGCAGGAAATGGAAGGTGGGGGCTTTCCCCACTGGTTTTATGATATTGTTAGTGTCATTTTTAACTAGGCAAGTGCCAGGTGCAAGTGGCTATTGTTCTGTGGCCTCCACTTTTTACCTTATCTGTCCTGTGGTTGAGTAAATTGTTCCCTTCTAGGTTTTGGGCCACATTGCAGTCGGACCAAGGCTGATGGTTCTGACCCTGGCCCCTCGAGGCAATTGCACTGCTGTTAATGGTCAAAATGGGCCCTCTGTGCATTGTGGAAGGGATAGCTGAGTTTGTATAATGAGAGCAGGCTGTGGGCTTCCAGAAAGGTGAAACAGAGCATGGATTTTTACATTTCACCAGATGCCCTGTTGACCTTACCCTCTGCCTTGTAGTTTCTTTAGAGTCCCTTGTGAAGTCTCCTGCACAGAATTCCCTGACAGTTGAGCGTAGACAGAGTCCTGCAGCTAAAAAGGCAGAGCAACCTTGGTTGCAGTCGTGTTGGCTGTACGCCCAGAGGGTTTCTCTTAAGTCTTATCCCCAAATCAGGACAGGAGTAAGAGGTCAAGTGGGGTCCTATTTTGGCCTCTGTCACAGACATGGGGTAATTTCAGATCTGGCACAGAATTAGCCCTATGGAAGCAGATGAGACATTGTCAGGACTCAGCACAGGACTGAGGTTTTGCATATGTTAGGAGGCTGGTTTCTTGGGGGTCTAAGTGGGTAGCTGGCCCACCAGACTATGTTTAATTCACATTTTAATGCTGCATGGGGCTTCTTGAACAGCTATCTAGCAGCCTGTCTAGGGATCTTTTCTGATGGGTAGGTAATGGGGAGGAAGAATAATTAAGTGCTCAGAGGATAGACGTTGGACTCAGCCAGCACTGGGTTCAAATCCCGACTTTACTATCAAGGGAGTAGGAAGACAATTTTCCTGATGTGGGGTTTGAGGGGGCAATTGCAAAGCCCTTTGCCAAGTTCCTAATCAAGGATATCAACCTGGTACAAAGTTGGTCTAACTTTCAATGATAACTTCTTCATTGACATCATCCTTTCAAATTAGTTAGGGAGTTGAATCCCAGTGAGGGGGCCAGGAGCATGTTGCCTTCTGTTCCTCTGGCCTTCAGAGGGAGAGGGATTTCAGGCTATGAAGGAGACTTCTATGCTCCTGACATATTTTCTCTGCCCCTTTCAATATGGATGCTGGTGAGGAAGTAGGGTTTAGGGTGAGCAGTGGGTTGCCAGAAGAATGTTTCTAGTTTGAGATCCAGGGACATGGCACAGGAATATGGGTGAATTGCTTTTGGGGACTTATAGAAAGCAGATGTATTAAATTTACAGTACTTGTGGTGGTTCAGTACCTTCTGTCCCCTCAAGTCTTCTTGAGCCTTCAAGTAGGGGATCCTAGGGCACATGAGCTGTTTTGGTTCTGGATTAGGCTCATTTAAAGGTAGCTTTCTGGACTGTCACCACACGGAACACCAAGGGCCCAATCAGTGACTTGAATGATCTTCCTGCTAGGCCAGAAGGGAGTGGACCCTTACTGCTCAGCTTTGTGAGCAGCTGCAGATCACTCTCCTGAAGCCTGCCTGCCTCTGTGTCATTACTGTCAGTGTTCTTACTGGGAATTGCTTGTTCCTGGAAGTGATTTTCCTGTCTCCCTTTCTTCTGGTTTATTTTGGGATCTGCCTCACCTTACGGAAATACAGCAAGCTTCTGAGAGTAGATTTAGCATCAGCTGTTCACAAGCAAGCTGAGGAAAACTGTTGGCTGAAAGGTCTCATGGGTTCTGGGCAAAGAACTCGGAGATTTGTCTTGGGGCTGAATACCCCTAAACACCAGGACTTAGTGCCTTTGCATTTGTTACAGAATGTCCATCATAGCCAGATTCACTTGGGTATTTCCCAAGCTCTGACTTTGTGCCAGGCACTGTACTTGTAGCCAGAGATGGAGATAATGCATTTACTGAACATCAGTGCTGCCAAGCATCCTTGGAGGGTAGATGCTATCATCACTCTGATTTTTGCATTCAAAGCTGAGTGATAGATCTCAAATCTAGCTTTGATTGGTTCTAAATCCCAGTTTGTAACAACTGTGCTATACTATTCTCCCACTCTTGAGTAGCTTGTAGACTCACAGAGGCTGCAGAGAAAGCAAAGAAACCCACCCATGTGGGTCTTAGTGTCCTGATGGAGCTGATGTGGTCTCATTGAAGGCAACAAGGATGATGTAGTAAGGCCTTAACATTTTCAGTTAGGGCAGTTTGTTCCCTTTTTAAAGTATGTGGTTTAAGTTGTTTTGCTTAGAATGTCTGAACTTTATTACTTTCCTTATGTGAAAACAGAGATAGAAATGAGTACTTTATAGAGCTGGTAGTGAGAAGGAAATAAGATTAATACATAGCACATGTTTGCTCAGGGTATGGCACATGGAACATAATCAATAAGTAGCTATAGTATCATTTCAAAAAATATACCTTTGCTACCTTCCTGTCTTATAAGACCTGATGGAGGGAGTGGAGGTAGGGCAAAGATCCCCCTTAAACTACTCAGTCCCATGCTGGTCCCATGCAGGCGCAGGGAAGCATAGCCAGGCTGAAACATAGGGCTTATTGACCTGATCTGACTTCAGGCGGCTGTGAGAGTCTGAAATATTGGCGTTAGCACAAAGAGCCCACTCGATGGGAGCACACAGGAAGCCTGTGCAGGAACACGTTCATGTGAGGGAGAGGAAAAAAAATCCAAATCATCAACAACTGATGAGAGCAATCCAAGAATTATAGAGCACTAGCCATCTGGTCAGATCATTTCGGATCTGCACGAGCAATAAGAGGGAATTGAATTTTAAAAACCTCATTTATAGTAGACCAACTACTCTGGTTTCAAGTATTTAAGAGAGGAGTCTGATTTCCTGCTGGTCCTGGACATCTGTCTGAAGGAGCACCTGACTCTGGCTAGGTGACCCTGAGGACGATCTTGGCAGGGCCTTTGACCCTTTATGGCTTTAGATGTACTGTGTGGTTGTCCAGTCCTCTGACACCAACTGAATCACCGATTTGATTCTGTTATGATACTTCATATAGGGATTCATATCAGATCCCAGAAGTTAAAGAACAGAGTCACATAAGACTGCCCCTTTTCAGATGCCAGTTCTGTCTTGGGCCACCTCTACTTCTGACTGGGCAGTTACAAATCAAGGACTCCCATAGCCTTGTGCTTAGATTTGCTTATATCCCTCAAAGAACTCAGGAAAGGACATTTACTGATTACAATAAAGGATGCAACTTGGGGATAGCCAAAGGGAAGAAGTACATGGGGTGATCTGTTGGGGTAATTGTGGGACCTGGTATGCACAGCTTTTATTTGCTGTGTGCAGGTGCTTCATGCTGCCAGCACTTCCATGTTGACCAACCCTCAAACTCAAGAGGAGTTCAGACATCTCTGGGGACCCCAGTGTTTATGAGGTTTCTTTATCTGGGCCTGGCTGATTAAAGCATGGGCCCAGTGGTCACTGAACTCCTCCCAACTTCCCTCTCACTCTCCCCAGAGATTAGAGTTGGGGAAGTAGGGATGGGACTGAAAGTTCCTGGCATGTAATCCAGGGTTGGTATTTCCAGGACCTTGTCCCCATCCTCATGCTACCTGGAAGTCCCACCACAAGTCACGTGGTAAACATTAACTCAGGTGTTGTCTCAAAAATATCCCTGTCACTTAAGATATTCCTAGGGTTTTTGGACCACTGTGCCAGGAACAAAGACTTTCAAAAACTTTATGGACAATGGAATTAAAATATGTTTTGAATTGTGCACAGAAATTTTTTG